CCTGGACTTTCTTCCCCCTCAAGCCCCCTCCCCCGGCTACATGCCTGGCTTTGCTTCAACTTCCGTTTTTATCATTTATCCCACAAATAGAATGGTGAAATGAAACTACTTATCCCTATCAGTGCTTCTTAAATATTTTTAATTACCCTCACCAGATAAATTTGCATAGAGATACAAATACAAATTTTGCATACATTTTTGTATTGGAAATTGATTTTCTTCACATAGGCTAGTTTAGAGTGGGAAAATGTTTTGATTTGATTTGAATCTTAACTTAAACATGGTATAAACAAGATGCAAATAAAATCCTGATAAAGATATGTTTAAAAATTAAACTATAACAAAACACTTTAAAAGCCTACATTTTAACGTTAAAATTCATTGTGATGAGAAAAATTCAGACTAGCAGGAAGAAAACTAAAGAAACTGAAGTACATACATGGACTCCTGGTTAAAAGTCTTTGCTGTATTTACAGGGAAAACATGAAGATTTCACAAAGTAGAGAGAACTCATTTGTTATTTGTTGTTCAAGGAGTACTATGGCATGGAGTACTATGGCATACAGACTAAGCACTCAGTTTTGATAGCTTGGTTTCCTCCCTGATGATAGTTATGAAGTTGGAATCTGGAACTGAAAACATTGTTTAAATTAGATCACTTTTTTATTCTTGTGAAGTCAAACTTTCTGGCCACTGAAACATCACTGGAAACCAAAGTTTTCTGGATAGTTTAAGAATGGGCAGCCATACCAATCAGGCAGTGTTTTACTGGCCCAACCAGGACAACCATGATTTGTTGTCTAATTAATACTGGAGTTTGTGGTAATAGTTCTAGGCTTAAGAAACCTGGTTCTAATAGAGGAACTGAGCTATGCTTTGTAGGCAAGGAAATCCGATGTGTGGAACTGAACAGGCAGGAAAACTATGGCATGAGAAATACTTTCTAACTAGGGATCTCATCATACAAATGAGCCTCTTCCCTTCTGTTTTTGCCAGCAATTGTAGGCAAAATGGTAGGTGTGTGGGGTGCCTCATGGTGCCCTGTGTGTTCTCCCTACTTCCCCCATTACATGGGGGGAACAGGACAAAGCATGTTGGTGCCCTGTCCCCATCAGATGGTGGAAAGGGCAGCAACACATGTTGCTGCATCGCCCTTTCTCCCATCAGTTGGGAAAAAGGGGAGCTACCCAAAAGCCACTTACCTTTCATCACTACTTCAGGCATGAGTGGGGTGGGGCTAAGACAGCATCATGAGATGATGCTCAGCAGGTCCCACACCCAAAGAGTAGCAAAGTGGGGGAAAGCCCCAAGTGTGTTAAGGTGATAGGTGTGCATTGAATAGAGATGAGTTTGCATGTTGGATGGGGAAAAGATTTATTTATTTGGAGTATTTAGAACCTGCTCTTCATCCAAAAAGGCTTCTACTCTGAATTACAAATAGTTAATTTGATAGTTCCTTTCCCTCAAGCTTACAATCTAAATAAAACTAAACACAAAAGGGGGGGGGGAGAATGGCAATATAAAATGGGATTACATCCAAAAGACATTGTCTTGTCTTCTTTTCCTTTGCAGCCATACCAGTGGTAGTTGGGATGCAGGGGCAGGCTTCTCGTTTTAGGCCTAGGCATGGTGAAGATGTGACTGCCTCTTTTTCTCTCCCTCCAAAGCTGGGCAATGGCAGTTGGGATGAAGGGTGACCTATGCTGAGATGGCACTGTGTCGGTCTTTTTAAATCTTCCTCTGAGGCCAAGTTGGAATGGAGAGAAGGCCTTTTATTTGCTTGATCAAAAATGATTCAACTGTATCTGGCTTAACCATGCCCAAACGGCACATACCAGCTCTTAGCCATGCTTACCCACTCCCGCAATAAGATCATGGAAACTCTTCCCAAATTGGAATTCCTCTCCTGAAAAAATATTCCCTATTCTGGCCATAGGATGGGGGACAAAATTCCAGCTCTAATAATATTTATGGGATTTTCCTTATATTTTATAGTTTAATGTATGTGCTTATTGTTTTTATATGTTTATTCATATGGCATTGAATTGTTGCCAATTTGTAAGCCACTCTGAATCCCCTTTGGGGTGAGAAGGGCAAGGTATAAATATAGTAAATAAATAAGTACATAAACAGTAGGATTGCAAGTGACAATGCATATATGGAACTGATGGGGAAAAGTGAAGCTGGAAATGAGCAAATGTTTACTTCTGGTTTTGCTGTTGGAGTTTAGCCTTGCTCAACCCTCACCTCCAGAAGCCCCAAGCTATCAGTCCTGAAGACTTCCAAGCATGACAAATCCCATTTTTCAAAAACAAATGAACACATTATTGATTCCAGAGGATATTGGGAGGTATCTGTGAGTGACCTATAGGCAGCAATTTGTTCACCTCTGATTTAAAATAGGAATATGCAGGGTGAGACAAGAGTCTGACTAGCTAATAGATGTGCCTGCTCAGTTCACTATTGAAAGGTATCTTCAAAGCTACCACTTAGGTGACTCTTTAAATTTAGTACATATCTTCAAAAGTAGGACACATGCCCCTTTATCTTATAATGGTGTGTAAGAAGCCAAATAGATGGAATCCCATATACACCAATGTAAGAGCAGTAATTGATTCTTGCATCAACTATCCAGATATGAACTTGCAAATACAAGGTATAAAATATATACGCAATCACTTGTTATCTAATAACTTCTCAGAATATTTTGGTTGCTATAGATCTCTTTTCATTGCCCATGTATGCCATTTATGGCCTTTTTCATTTAAATGAAGGACAGAAGATCATTCCTTATGGAAAGAAACTGAGAGGCATGCAAGAAACAATGGGTGTTTTGTCGGGTGGTTTGTATGCATCTGATCCCATGGGAACTGCAGCAGACCATACACGCTGTGTGAAAAAGATGCTCTTTCAAAATAATCTCTGCTCCCTTTTGTTTCACTCAAAAACAAACCTGCGAACATTGCTGAGATCCTTCGAAGGCCACTCTGCTAACTGTATTGTAATTAAGTAAGGGTGCCTAATGCCATAAAAATATAGCTCCAAATAACTCTCTCTTAATAATGTTCTAGCAAGATGAGAAAAATTGTATACATGCTAGAGAGCTAGGAAGAAAATAAAATATTCTGCAATATTGAGAATGAGCAATAAGATAACTTTCTCTGTTCAAACCAAAGTTGTAGCCAGTGGAGGGAACAAAATAAGGAATTTGACTCTTAAATAAGAATTATGCCCTGCAAATGAAAAAGTCCTTCATTCTTCAAGTTTCTAGCATTCATTAACTTTCAAAATTTCAGTTGAACATTTAGAATTACAGTTTATACTCCCAAATAAACACCAACTACCAGAAGCATGCAAAAACAGGCAATAAAAGGGTTCTAAGTATGAACAATATTTAGCATTTACCCTGCATTGTTAGAATCTTGGGAACTGGACAAAAAACATAATTTGGCATCTTACTTTGGGGGGACAGAACCCCCGGTGGCGCAACGGGTTAAACCGTTGAGTTGCTGAACTTGGTGATCAAAAGGTTGATGGTTCAAATCCTGGGAGCGGGATGAGCTCCCACTGTTAGCCCCAGCTTCTGCCAACCTAGCAGTTCAAAAACATGCAAATGTGAGTAGATAAATAGTAACCGCTTCAGCTGGAAGGTAATGGTGCTCCATGCAGTCATGTTGGCCACATGACTTTGGAGGCGTCCACGGACAATGCTGGCTCTTTGGCTTAGAAATGGAGATGAGCACCATCCCCCAGAGTCAGACATGACTAGACTTAATGTCAAGGGGAAACCTTTTACCTTTACTTTTGGGGGGACAGACAATATTATTTACTCCCCCCTGCCCTTCCCACATCTATATAATATGCAAAGCATCTTATGGAACTTTGGTCTTTAAATATAGTTTCATTTATGTAAACTGGCTTTTAGTAAAATATCCAGAAAAGCTTGTGTAGATTAGAACCAGAGCTTCTGCTTTGTTTCACTTAAATCAAAGTGAGCATAGCCATTAACTTGAATGGAGACAGGATTTGGGAAAGGGTTGGGCTACAGCATTGTAATTAATAAATTGTGTATTTTTATTTTCTGCAACTAACCATCTGGTGACACTGCGTTGTGTTTCATTTCACTGTTTGGGAACTGCTTTTTCTTAGCTGAAGAACTTACTGTCCTTTGGATGAAGTTTCTGTACAAAAGATAGTTAATAAATATAATAAAAAGGAGAACAGCAGCAAGTTTTCTTTATTCAAGAAGTAGTATTGATTTACTAAAAAAAGAATATTTGAACTTATGCCAGGGAAATTCATTAAGTAAATGTTGAACTGCACGGGGCACTGAATGATTCCTGATAGACCACATCAAGCAAACTTCACAGGTTTGAAGGTATCTCCCAGAATACCACCAAGAACAACCTTTCAAATTAGAGGACTGAAGCCACTGAAAAATAACGTGGAAAGATCCTTTACAGAATGATAGCAAATGCTGCCCAAAGATCCAGCACAGTCAATAAAATAGTATTCCTCCTACTTTTCTCTTAGTCATGGTTCTCATCAGAGCAACCAAAGCAGTTGCTGATCCATGCTGGAGTGCAGAGTGAAATAGATCTATGCAATGCAATAATTGTTGCTTGGGATTTTCTTGCAATCGCTAATTTTGGGGGCAAATCACTTTTGAAGAATATGAGCATACTGATGTACAGTAATCAACTACAGAAGGAAACAAAAAGTGTTGCCATTTGTTCTTGAAACTTACCCTTCTTCTCATCCCAATACAAAATTTCATCCTTGGATATGAAACAGGCATCGGCGCCTTTGAAATGAAAAGTTAGCTATCCAGTTGGAAAAAGCTGGCAATCCTCAATTAAGTGGAAATAAAATTACCCAAACCTTCTGGATATTTCAGCATAGCGTGAACAGTCAGTCTGTTGGAGAATGAGGATTACGCATCTTTTACACTGGGCCATTGGGGTCTGCTATGGTCTGATTCCAGTACCCCAATGGCTACCAAAATCCATGTATGCATAATTTGTGGATTTTATATAAAATGGCAAAATCAAGATTTGCTTTTTGGATTTTTTTTTAAAAAATCAAACCATAAATGCAGAATTTGTACATGGAGGTGACGGAGGGCTGACTGTATCTAAATTGCATAATTATTGGTTTTTAAAAAGTTGCCATGGCTTTGGCTAAAATGTAGAATGATGAGGGTGTCAAGAGCTCTGAGTCCACTTCTCCTAGAACTACAGTTCCCAGAATTCCCTGATGTGGAGGGAATGACAATGAAACCAGTTGAAGTATTTTGCAGAGAGATCCTCCTAGTTGCATATGCATGGTATGGAAATGTCCTTGTTCAAGCCCACAAAGAGGTGTTTTATGATTAAGAAGCCAACAGGCAGTTTCAGGGCCACTTTGTATTATTGTTTTATTCTTTGGATGAAAAGTGTTTCCTTTATGTATTGCTGAAGGCTTTGATGGCTGGAATCACTGGGTTGTTGTAAGTTTTTCGGGCTGTATGACCAAGTTCCAGAAGCATTCTCTCCTGTCATTTCTACATCTATTGCAGGCATCCTCAGAGGTAGTGAGGTCTGTTGGAAACTAGGAAAATTGGGTTTATATATCTGTGGAATATTCGGGCTATATGGTCATGTTCTAGAGGCATTTCTCCTGATGTTTCGCCTGCATCTATGGCAAGCATCCTCACCTGCATAGATGCAGGCGAAACGTCAGGAGAAATGCCTCTAGAACATGGCCATATAGCCCGAAAAAACCCACAAGAACTTAGTGATTCCAGCCATGAAAGCCTTCGACAATACATTATCTATGGAATGTCCAGGCCTTTTATAAAATAGGGTTTATGTATCTGTGAAACTTTATAATAATTTAATTCATTTACTCCATTTTAAATAACTAAGTAAATAAACAAATAGTTTAATTGCAAACTCATAGGGAGTTCTACCCAGGAGAGAATAGTTTTCCACAGACAGAGAGTTCTTTTTTGTTCACTAAAAGCAACTGGCTCTCAGATTGAACAGGCTTTTTGGGGTGGGTTTTTTTTTTGTATTTTTTGTTCTAGGAACAGAGGCTTTCATTCAGAGATAAGGCCACTATGCTTTTAGGCTCTTTCTGGTCACCTGATCAAGCCCTTGGTAACTTTTAGGCAGCTTTAGTCTGCATTCCACAAATTCCTCATCCCTGGCCCTTTAATTAACAGCTTCAGGTTCACTGCATTAACAGTAGATTCCATAACTTTCCCCTTGTTGTGCCCTCAGATGTCGGATTTTTGCAACAAACAGGCCGTGCCGCACCTCCGCCTCAAGTCTCGAAATACCACCACTTGCTAGCTTGAAAAAAAAAAACCCCAAAACGAAAAGTCCCACCTGTGAATGCTGTGGTGGAGTCATGAGCAGGTAAAGCATTGGTATGCATTTGAATATTCTTGTGCAAGGTTCCTTTCTATAGCTAAACTAGCCATTCTAAAAAGTCCATCTGTTTTGAACTTTATTGATTCCCAGATCATGATGTATAATATATAGGGGGGGGGGGGAGGTCTTTCATTTTTGCTACATCAGATGGAGAATCCTACCTGTCAATATGGTTTTGATGAACTGCTTCATTCAGGTTTTATTCCTAGGCTATGTTTCTTGCAGCTGTGAGGTATAAATCATTTGTGGACAACTCTTTGATATTATTTTTTAACAGTTTTAGGGAGAGGATTGTCCTTTCTGTCACTGTAAGAATAATATATGATGCCCACGTTGCTGTACACGGCTACATTTCTTGTCATCTTACTCTGTGCAGATTTTAAATATTTTGTATTGGCGATTGATGGCATTAAATCAGAGTCACTGTGGCTAATGAAAGGAAGTAGTTCAGGGCAAAGGATTTTACTCTCATAGCACTTCAGCTGAACCTCAGGCTGACATATCAGGTGATACAGTTTAAATTGTCACTGCGAATACTGATCTGGAATAGAATGTGCCTTTTGAATGTAGAAGCAGGGATTATATGCTGGTACTGAAAAGCATTGACAGGGGAATGTGTATTGAAGACGACCTGCTCATACGACATGCATGGCAACATTTATATAAATGCAGTTGTCTCACATTAAAAACAGTGGGACAGCATCCAGCAATGCACAGGGAAGTAAGCATGCAAAGCAAGACCATATATGCATATTTCTAAAATTACCTTAGGCTTGGTTTTAAATTGTTTCTGTAACTGTCTTGTGTTGTTTTATTTATCTGTTCCTTGCTCCAAGATCTCTAAATGTAGAAAGGGGTATACAATTTTTAATATAAATAAAGAAGCAGAATCCTAATATGATTTGTGTTGTTTTAAGGGTCCAAAATTACATGCCTGCAAGTAATTTTATAACTGGTGGGCAGGTGGACTGGGAGTTGACTTGCATCTATCCATATGGTTTTCTTCCTCCTATATCGTCCCTCATTTTGAAGAATTGTGGTCGTGTGGACAGCAGAACAACTAGTCAATGGTTGAAAAAATTTTATCCAACTTACTGGGCAGGGCAATTGTGGTTTGTTCACTGCCTCCGCCTTCTATCTTGCTTCCTGGCTCTGCTCTCTTTTCTCCCATCGGCCCCCCGAGCAAAGTGCGGGAAAGCTGCAGCCAATCAGTTGGAACCTACTGTTTCAAGCTGATTGTCTGAAATGGGACCTTCTCTGATATCCACTTGCCCAACATAAAAGCAGGCCAGGCTGCTCCTCCAGCTCAGTTGCCTTCCAGCTCTCCCTACCCTACTCAGTTTTTCTCCTTCAATTTATTGTATTCTACCTTGGAGCTGTGTCTTGTAATTGTCACAACTTAGGAGCAGCTAGCATGGGCCCTGGATCCAATTTTACACCCTTACCCTCCCACTATTCTGTTTGAAATGGGTTATTCCAGTCACGTACCAAAGGCGGGGCTGCATGGGTGGCCCGGATCGATGGACAGGTGCCCATGCAGGGCCTCCTCTTGACTGTTGTCTACTGCTGTTGTAAAGGCACTGGTTCAGGCTTCACTGCCTTTACATGTGTTATCGTTTCAGTATGCAGGCTGGTCAACACCAAGATCCAAAACGCATATATGGGTGCAAAACCATTTTCAGTTGTATTCAATAAACACGTTGTGGCCTTTTGTTATCCCAAGCTCATGTGTGTGTGTGTGGCCCCTTCTGTCCTTGGGGCTTGGGGGTCAGCTTTTGAGATGAACAACAGCATGAAATCCTGCATGTTCAAAAATAGGGAATTATTTGCATGTTCAAAAATAGGATGCACAATTGATATAAAAGTAATTATAAAACGTCAAAAAAGAAAGCATAATAGTGCAGTCACAGAGATTATAGTCCACCACCCCTGCCCCCCAAAGCAAATCTTGATTTTACCGTTTTCAGTTAGGGATACCAACTTACAACACCGTTGGCTACAATAGGACTTGAGCATCCATGGATTTTGGTATCCATAGAAGATTCTGGAACCAAACCAAGGACTCAGGTATACAAGAACAAAACAGTCTAAACAAACAGGGAAAATAAAGAAGTCTTCACCTAGTACCAGGAAGGCATCCAACAGTGCCAGGTGAGCTTTCCTGGGGAAAAATGGCTAATCTCAGGGTTAAACTGTGGAATTTGCAACAAGATGTTGTTTTTAAATTTTTTTCATTTATTTTCCTTAGGTTATGGTGGAAGAGGTCTCCAAATATGAAAAAGTGTTCCCTTAAATAGAAAAGGAACACCTTTTTGATTTTGGATTTGTGTGTCACTAACCTTGACTAAAAGCACACTGGTATGCTGAAATCCTTTTCCGGTTGGCAGAACATTCAATTATGCATCGTCTCTTTGGGCTTGTTTTGGGACAAAAGGACCTTTCGCGTGCAGGGGACCTCTTCTCCTTAGACGATTCTGAAATAGAAGGATGTTTGTCTGAAGCTCTTGAGCAAATAAAAGTCATTAGTTCATCTCCCGTGAGTATAACATTTCATGGTTTTTATTGTGTGCAATGATACAGAATTTTAGCCTCACCTTGCCATTTCTAAAACATTAGGGAAATAAGATACATGAGATAGAAGTGTTAGAGAAAGAGAAAATATGTCTCCAATGTGAGGAGAAAGAAAAGGAAATGGTATAGTCCTATCTGAGTGATGCTCACCTGAAGAAAAGAAGGCATAGTTTTAGTCCATTGTGTATAACTGGGGTGAGAAAGCATTCCACCCCAGTGATACACAATGTCAATAACATTACTATATAATGAATACTGGTAGTAATAATGACCCGCTTGTCTAAAGCCAGAGTTAAGGCTTATTGTTGCTCAAGTTCTGTACCACCAGAAAGCTAGAGATTAGAAATAGTGATCATATAATGGCGCTGCTCCTTAATAAGTATACATTGAGCATCTGTTATTCAGAATTCTGAAATCCTAAATTCTCCAAATTTGCCCACATGTATCTGAAATAATGACGCATTTGCTTTCTGATGGTTCAGTGTTTACAAACTTGGTTTCATGCAAAAATTATTACAAATGTTGTGTATAGGACATATATAGAACCTCAATGAATTTTATGTTTAGATTGGGTCCCATCTCCAAGATGTTTCATTATGTACATGTATGAAAATACCAATATTCCACACCACACACCCCAAACACTTCTGGTCCCAAGCATTTTGGACAAGGGATATTTAATCTATAATGATATTTCATTGTGACACAAAGTATTCTTAATTTACCCTTGATGCATCCATACATTTCTTTGTATCAATTCACTTCACTTCACTTCACTTCACTTTATTTCTTAATTAGTCGCTCTCCACCAAGGTGCTCCGAGTGACTTACAATTTAAAATAGCATTTACACAATATAAAAACATTCAACATAAAAACATACACTCCTCTAGAAATGCAGTTAGCCCTCTGTAGCCATCCATATACATGGATCTTGATGGTTGACTCCACAGGTTCACCCATCCACAACTTGAGCCCATCCCACTCTTCAAATTACCATAAGCAAACATTTATCTTGCCATTATATATAAAAAATAAAATATTACAAGGGACCTCATCAAATTGCTTTAATGCTCTGTTTTCATGCACTGCGGAGACAGAGCACTACAGAGGCCATCACATGATGTAAAGGCATTTCTGGTGAGGCTCCGTTTCTGCAGCGCATGGAATTCGAGCCCTAAAGCCATCTTCAGGAGTTGTGTGTTACCCAACTCCAAATGGCTTAAAACTGGGAAAAACAGGCAGAAGATGGGGAAAAGACGTGGGATGGCTGGCCATCCCAGAAGATGTGGAAGGATGGTAGGGATTGAAGAAGCACAGTTCTCTCCACTTCCTCCCACTTTTTCTCTGACTATCTGATGAGGTCATATGTCACTTTATAGTGGAACTTGAGCACCCACAAGGGGTCCTGGAACCAAACCCAGGGAATACCAAGGGCTCACTGTACAGTCAGGTTCAGATGCTTCATAAGGCAAGCCTGAATCCAGATCCCTTTAACTCTACACAATTATAGCACATTGCCACACCAGTATCCTATGGAAATCTAGCATTTGTAGTTTGGTGAGGCACTAGATTTTTCTAGCAGAAAATTAAGAAGCCTTCTCTAATGGACAAGTTGGAATACCTTTGCTGGTCCCAGGAAAATCATAATTGTCATATGGAATTGGGCTTGAGAAACAAAGGTGGTGTGCAGAGTATATTGTAAACAGACATAGATTGTGACATAGAGCTGAAAGAGGAATCATAGAGTCATAGAGCTGAAAGGGGTCTCATAAGCTTTCTATTCAAACTGTCTGACCCAAGCAACATCTCCAGGCAAAACATCTGCAGCAGATACATAATTTCTGATTACAGGTGTTCATACCTGTTGAAAGTTTAACCTTGTATTTGAAGTTCATGGGTCAATATGTGGTTTGGGTCAAAATGGACAATTAATGAAATTTCAGACAATAGCAAAGAAAGCCTCACTCCAAAGCACATCTGCAACATATATGTAGAAATTTCATACTTTTTTAATAATTGGAAATCCTTTTTAAAGCCCGTGTTATACATACAATATAGATAATGATGAATATAAATTAATTAGCTAAAAATAAGATCGATATGCTAACTGCATGCTGAAAATAAGCTAAACTTGATACTAATAATGACATATTCATACTATTTCTGAAAGCATAGCTACATTGTTTATTATGTGGAAGCACTAGTTACTTTATTATTTGTAAAAGTTGGAATATTTTTGAATCTTGGAAAATGTTACTGGATTTACAAAATGTATTAAGATGTACTGTAATTGCATTTTATAATAAGATCATTTCACAACATTACAGAAATGAAAACAAACCAGTTTACCAATGTATTTCCCACTAGAGGGCATCAGTGATACATAGTTGACATGGAACATATTTTGAAGTCATTTTCAAATTCAGAATTTCTAAGATGCAAGTAATTTCCTCCAGATGAGAAAAGAGTCTCAAATTGTAGATCTGCTTATTGTACAACTTCCCAGAACTGAAAAAGAAAAATTGTAGACATTATACAGAAAAGGATGGATGCAGTGATAGGTCAGAGCACCTTCCCCCTTAAAGAATGGATAAGCAGTGAGGGCTTCTTTAGCTCAGAAAGGAAGGGGCACAATACTGTTTTATAAAACTGTGACTGGTGTGGACAGACACCATAATGTGAGGTCATACATAATGATTGATTGGCAGTAGTAGTCACAGAAGACCCAAAACGAAGTACTTCTTTTCAGGGCGTAAAGTTGTTTGTAGGAACCATATTCAGAGTAACTGTATTGACTCTGCAGCAAATAACAATGAAGTTTACAAAACAGAAATACTTTTATTGGTCTAACAAAATGTTCAAAATACTAAATGCAAGTTTTTGAAGTTTCATTAGCTTTTTCATCAGTCAAAAAAGGAGAAGACAATGCTAGAGTCACAGGCCTACATTTTACCCCAGATGTTTCTGTTGTAAATTACATTGTTTGAAGGCATCACAATGCCTTCTTACTTAGGCGATCCCTCGTAGCCCAAGGATGATGGTCCTCCAAGTGTAGTGTCTTGGTGGTGGGTCCATAGGTGGCAGTGGAGCTCTATTCTTGATCCGCATGTTCTCTCGCAGGGAGAACATCGATTTCCAGGTGGAAAACAGTCCTGGTCAGGGTTGTCTTGATGCACATTCCTCTTGGCATGTTTCTCCCTATCGCCCTCCATTCGTGCCTCTTCAAATTCCGCAGCACTGTTGCATTGTGATTTTTCCAAATCACAATGCAGACAAAAGTATTTCCTCTCTTGACCGTGCAGGGATAGTAAAAGACAAGCAATAAAATTTGAACCCCATTAGCAACAATAAAGATCTCCATCCCCTGTGTTAGCTGCCCCTTTCTTAGGCAAAGAACATTAAGAATACAGTAGAGTCTCACTTATCCAACATAAACAGGCTGGCAGAATATTGGATAAGCAAAAATGTTGGATAATAAGGAGGGATTAAGGAAAAGTCTATTAAATGTCGAATATCATTATGATTATGTTATGATTTTACAAATTCAGCACCAAAACATCATGTTTTACAACAAATTGACAGAAAAAACAGTTCAATAGACAGTAACGTTATGTAGTGATTACTGTACTTATGATTTTAGTACCAAAACAGACAAGAGTTGTTGAATGAGCGAAGGTTGGATAAGTGAGTCTCTACTGTAGTTTGCAGTACTCATTGCTGAGGAACAAAAAAGTAGAAGGGTTTAAAAACAATAATACAGATTTATAAAAAATCAAATAGATAATTCCTCTCAGTATTAAAAAAAATAGAACTGTCATGGTCAACAGCAGTACTCCCTTAATCATTACAGGTTGGGATAAACAGCCACAGCAGGAGATAGATGATCATTCCTATAATGGTCTTTTTTTGTAAACTTCCCATGTGAATCTGGCCACTGTTGGAGATAACAGAGACTTTTGATCTGATCTAGATCACTAAACAAATCAACTTTGTATAAATCACCTGTACACATAGAATCATGAGGTTGAAAGTGACCCCAAGGGCCATCCAGTCCAATCCCCTGCCATGCAGGAAAACACAGTCAAAGCACTCATGACAGATGGAAAATCTCCAGAGAAGGAGAGTCCACTATACTTTTAAAATAATTATTGAGAGGAGACATGACAGCCATGTATAAATATGTGAGGGGAAGTATTAGGGAGGAGGCTTGTTTTCTGCTGCCCTGAAGACTAGGACGCGGAACAATGGCTTCAAAGTACAGGAAAGGAGATTCCATCTGAACATTAGGAAGAACTTTCTAACTGTGAGAGCTGTTCAGCAGTGGAACTCTCTGCCCCGCAATGTGGTGGAGGCTCCTTCTTTGGAGGCTTTTAAACAGAGGCTAGATGGCTTTCTGTCAGGGTTGCTTTGAATGCAAGTTTACTAGCTGTTAGGATTTCTGGGAGTTGAAGGCCAAAACATCTGGGGACCCACATGTTGAGAACCACTGCCATATGGGAATCAAGGCAGCTTACATATATAGGCAACAATTCAATGCCAGTAATACACATAATAAAAACATATCCATTAAAACAATAACTAAAAACATATAAAACCTGAAATAGCAATCTATGATTGCTATTTATACTTTGCTTCAGTTTGAATGACTCCTGCACCTGTACTAGAAGTAAGAAATGATAAAATAATTAAATGAACATTACTTAACAAATTATTTTGTCTCAACCAGGACTATCAGACCAATGACAATGACCAGGCTGTGGTGGAGATCTGCATAACACGGATTACCACAGCCATTAGAGAGACAGAGTCCATAGAGAAACATGGAAAAGCTCTTATTGCTCTTTGGGAGTCATGCTTAGAGCACAATCTGAAACCTTCAGGAAAAGATGAAGACACACCCCATGCAAAGATTGCATCTGATATAATGAGCTGCATTTTGCAGGTAAGAATGCATTATGAGTATTGTATTAAAGACAGGAATTCTAAGTAATAAACTCCACTAGGCTTGATTTTTCTACCACCACTGGAGTGCCGCAACTGGGACAAAAGCAGAGGTGGCTTTATGAAAATCCTATTTGGTTCTAAAACAAGGGACCAGTACAGTGACAGTGGGGAAAATGGAAGGAAAAAGGAAGAGGGGCCGACCAAGGGCAAGATGGATGGATGGTATCCTTGAAGTGACTGGATTGACCTTGAAGGAGCTGGGGGTGGTGACGACCAACAGGGAGCTCTGGGGTGGACTGGTCCATGAAGTCACGAAGAGTCAGAAACGACTGAACGAATGAACAACAAAAACTATTTTCATAGGCAATTCTTGTGACCAGGCAAGCCTTGTAGGTTTAAAAAAACCTGAAGATTAGATCCTTCGTCAAATTAATGGAACTTGTCTATGATTCTTAAGTATTAAAAGAGCAAGTCATTCAAAAGCAAGGTGTCAAAAAGTAAAGATTATTCCTATTCACTGACAAGGAATGAGACTGAGCGAGAAAGTTAGAGGAAAAGACGTTTAGGTACAAACTATTGGGGTATTATTTAGCATTCAGTCTAAAAGGGTTTTCCCTCTGTGGTAATAATATCTCATGGCATTTCGTTGTCAATATCATGCCCGGGGGTAGCCCTTGTAGTTTGTTTTGACTTGTTAAATCCTGCCATTCCTAATCTGTTTTGACTTTTGACTGTTTCCATCCAAAGAGAATAAGAATATGATATTAGAGAGAGAACTCTTAGGCTTGGTTTCACATCAGTGCAGTGGCAAATTAAAACTGTCTGTGTGCCTGGTTTTGTTCGTTTCTGCTTCAAAACCCTAGGACTGGCTCCAAGTAAACATTTTTAAAAAATGAAAGATGGAAAAAAATGCTGGCTCCTAGGCGGGTGTTGACTTCCAAAAATATATTTCTTCAATAAACAAAACAAGTCTCCATTGTGTCTACTTTTTGTATTATTGTAATGCTGTCAAAACAAAGGTCCTGTTGCCAGGTATGTATGTATGCATTTTGTTCAAGAGGCATGCAGGTGATATGTGACCAAAAGTCTCCTGCTGATTTTGATGCTCCTTGGGATGTTTATACTAAGTATTTCTGTTATTCCCATTGCAGTACTTTATAAGATGATTGTGATAGTTTATATCTTGTGAAAATATACATCGCTAGTTGAAAACTGGGAAGCCTTCATCTCTCTCCCTCTCTCTTTTAAATAATTGTTGTTCTTTGTGGTGCAATTGTTTTTCCTAACAGAATTATAATCGTCCTCCCATCATGGCATTGGCTGTTCCAGTGGCAGTGAAATTTCTCCAGAGGGGTAACAAAGAACTGTGTAGGAACATGTCCAGTTACCTTTCCCTTGCTGCAATAAGTAAAGTGGATCTCCTGGCTGAACACACAGAAACTATAGTAAAAAGTGTCTTGCAAGGTAAGGAGTACCAGAATTATTTTGTTTTGATTTCTTCACTCAGGCCACACATTATGCTTCCATACATGCAATTTTAATATATTTCATATAATTTTATCTATAGATCTGTATATCTATACTGTTATACCTCAGTTAAACAAAGTAGATATGTTTTCTGATTTTGGTTAGTAATAGAAAGCTGCTATGTCTTCGAATGGGAAGAATAGGGATAGGTTCCTAAACCAGAGCACAAGAACGGGCTCAATTCAAGGTGCATGTTATTACCTATAGAACCCTATGTGCTTAGGGTCCAACCTGTCTTTGGGACTGCATCTCTTTCTACAAACCAGTGTAGGTTCTGAGATTGACAGGGCAGGCCCTTCTCTCAGCCCCACCACTGTATCAAGCATGGTTGGTGGGGATGAGAGAGAGGGCCTTCTTGGTGGTGCCCCCCCCCCAGCTCTGGAAACACCCTCCAAAAAGAGATTAGATTAGCTCCCACCCTTCAGTCCTTCCGTTCTAACCTGAAAACATGGATGTTCAAACAGACTTTTGATCTCAAATAGGCTGAATGGGTCCATATGACGTTGACACGTTGCACTTTGTGAATTGATAGCAGCTAATTTTATCTACTGTTGTTTTTATAATTGTATAATTTTGATTTTGTGTGACTTGCTTTATACTTACGTATCATTTTCACCTGTTTTATGTTATATGTGCACCCTGGTGTGCCTTTGTAAGCCACCCTGAGTCCCTTTGGGGAGATGGTAGCTGGATATAAATTAAGATTGTTATTATTATTATTATTATTATTATTATTATTATTATCATTATTAACAAATGTTTTCTTCAAAACTAAAATCCACGTGTGAAATGAAATGACCATGCCAGATATACCTTACATAAATATCAAAAATTCTAGAGATTCCCAGGATTTTTGCATATTCTAGAGATTCTCAGGATTTTTCCCTTTCAATAGCCTCCACTTTTCTTAGGATTACCATTTTGGAGACAAAACCTATAGATCTATGCTGGATAAACATATCAGTGGAAATACTGAGGCAGGCCAGTCTGCTTTACTTCTTTCTTTCCATTTTGTTCTTTATACATATTGAGTAGGCAGCATCTTACCTTGTCTATTGAAAACAACAGTAAGATCACCGACAACAGGACCCAATTTTTCCATGGTCAAATTTTATTGCAATGTTTACTGCAGACATACTGCTACAACCCAAAACTGAAAAAAGGCCTTTCTCCAGCCCTTCCTCCAACATCCTCCCAATGCCAGTGTTATAAGGCAAAACAAAAACACCTTCCCATGACAGAAGAAAAGAAAAAGGGGACTGAGCTGGGCTTCCACACACACACACACACACACACACACACACACACACACACACACACACACACACAGAGCTTCTTTGTCAGAGGCTTTATACTACAAAACCCATTGAAATGTAATAGACTTGTTGACTGAGTTATTACTGTGTTCTAGTAAGGACCTGGAACTAGATGGTTGTTGGCTTATGGTGACCCCATGCATTTCATGAGATTTTCTTGAGGAAGAATCAGTCTGAGATGGTTTTGCTAGTTCCTTCCTCTGAAATATAGCCTAGAGCACCTTTTCTTGTTTGGTGGTCTTCCATTCTAGTACTAACCAAAACTGTCTTTGATTAGCTTCCAAGATAAAATAGGATTGGGAACCCAATAATCCCATACCCTTGCTTCAACGCTTCCTCAAAAGATGGTGCCAATTTACCTTATGCTTGTAACTATCTTCCTGTATACTAATATTATGACAACTTGTCTCTAGGATTAAATCACCTCAAATGTTACCTTTTCCATGATTTTTTTATCAATCTCTTACTTCCAGTGTATTGCTGGACTGAACTAGGGATGATTTAAACCTAGGACTGATACCCAGTTACCGTTAGCTGTTTCTGAATCACTTTCATATTTATCATGTTTACTCCATCTTCCCTCACTGCTCTCACTTCCATTCTTGTTTCCTTGTGAATTTTTTTTGATAGTAATCTTCTTGGAGCAGCATTTATTCCTTTTGTACTCTGTAAATTGGGATATATAGTGGAATTATATAAGGTCTTGCTAGTGTACATGAGCATCAACATTAATAAAATGGAACCCTATTCTATAAGTTTGTATTTGTAATTAATTTGCACGTGGAAGGATTTTTTATTAAAAGATAGTATAATAGAGTAAACCACCAAAATTATTCTACCCATAACTAAATCTGTAGTTAAGAAAATTGTACAGATGGGAAAGTATTGCTAGTGCTGCTGGATTTATTAACAAGGTTTTCTTTTGCAGTTATGTGATTCTACCAGCAGATGTTGCTCTGGATGTTTAAGATGAAATTGCTATAAAATGGCACTTTCAGAATGATGAAGTAGAAACTTAAGGTGTCAACATTAAAAGGCACTTTTAAAAAAAGGGATATTTGTAAAATTACATATATGAGCCCCTAAACAATACAGGGACTACTTCTCTGCTGAAAAAGAGTTTTGGGAATGTATCCAAAACCTGAAAACAGAAGTAGGTACAGTGTGCAAAATACCAGCTATGAAACAGCCCAGAACTATTAAATAATTCTAAGTAATTGTTTTAGAAGCAGGATAATTGAGAAAACAGAATTCGTTTTTCTCCACTTTGCATGCCTGTAATGATTTGTTTTTAACTGCCATCAAGTTGATTTCAACTTCTGGCGAGCTAGTGAATAAGAAACCCTCAAGTAACCGCAGCTAACATACTTTATATGTTGCATATATTGATAGGTAGGATTGCTGTTTTTCTACTACAGTTCCACATATGCAGTCCTGGCAGTTGTCAGCATGCACAGTTGAACTGGCACCAGAGTTTATAGATTTTTCTTCAGTTCAGTTGAGTAATTAGTATGGAATTTAAACTAGTCTTTTACGAGAACTGTATAAGGTGATTTTGGGGTCTTGGTATGATTACAGTGTAATAGCTTTAGGATGATGTTGTGTATGTTACTGATGCATGAGCTGTTATACCTTTGTTTCTCCGTGCATTGAAATACACAGTAGCACTAACAGATGGTGACAGGAAGGGTGACAACTGTTGTGAAGGATGTACGTGTATGAAATCTTTAAAGCTATATAAATCAAAAGACCCCACATTGCCTCCTTGTGCCTTTCTCTCACATGAACCTTTATCAGAAATTGTATAAGTATGGTCCCTAGTGCAACTAATCATTCTATGAGTGTAGTATGCACACACCTACACAAAGCCTTACCTCTCATTTTTGACTTGTTGGATATAGAGCTAACTCACAAGTGTGCAGTGCATGATCTCAGGGCTTGGTGACTATTATTCAGTTAGTTGAACAACTGTAGCATCCAGCCATGTGCAGTCACTCAGGTCTGATTATGATTCTCTTCCAAGGGCAGAGTCTTGGTGGTGGATCCGTAATGACATTAAGTCCAGTCGTGTTTGGCTCTGGGGTTGGTGCTCATCTCCATTTCTAAGCTGAAAAGCCGGCATTGTCCTTAGATACCTCCAAGATCATGTGGCCTGCATGACTGCATGGAGCGCCGTTACCTTCCCACCAGAGTGGTACCTATTGATCTACTCACATTTGCATGTTTTCAAACTGCTAGGTTGGCAGAAGCTGGGGCTCATGCTGCTCCCGGATTCGAACCTGTGACCATTCAATCAACAAGTTCAGCAGCTCAGTGCTTTAACCCTCTGTGCCACCAGGGACTCCACACCACCGGGACTCCACACACAATGCTGACTTTTATTAAAATTAAGTGTATGAGGGAGATAGAAAGGCATTGCGGTTTTAGTGTTAGACTCAGTTTCAGAGAAATTACAGTTTGAAGTCCTGTTCAGCCATGGAAATCCACTGAGTGACCTTTGGTCTTCGAGCAAGGCAATGGCAAACATCCTCTGAACAAATTTTCCCAAGCAAATCTCATAATAGACTTGTTTTGGGGTCACTGTAAAACAGAAGTGACTTGAAGGCACATGGCCCCAAAAGTATAGCTCTAAATTCCACTCCTCTCAGTCTTATCTCCTCTTTCCCAAGCCTACACCTAATTGCTAGCAGCTCAAGTTATCTTTTTGTCTCTAGATGGAAATTTTAGAGTAAATCTCACCCCTTCTATGCAAAGCTAACAGAATTAATTTACTACCCTATAAAAGTAGATCCTGGTAGCTGTTGAGACTATCATTTACTGCTAGAATTCAGCAGTGAGGAAAAAAGAGGGGTTTCTCTTTTAACTGGAAGTTTTTGATGGGATACTGGGAAGGGATACAAAATGGGATTTTAAGACCACATGATTCCAATTCCTGATCTAGATGGCGGTCATAGGAAAAAAAATCTCAGTCCCTCCCTGCAGCAAGGGCTCCCAGCATATTGGGCCCCAGACAGATCAGTTGTTTGAACTCTAGAGGATCTATCCTGGATTCATACATTACTTTATTTCAGTTAATTTATAGGCCATGTTCCTCTCACTATGACACCCAAGGCAGTTTGCATTGTCTGTTAACTAAAAATAGCTGAAAACAACATGTGGTGCAAGATTTGAAAAAGGTGATACAGCAATCAAACTACACGTTTTAAAAAACAATTGAAAACAGATGTTTTTCTGTTATTGTTTGAGTGGGCAGTGTTCAGTATTGATTATAAAATAATATTAAACTCAATTAATATCAAAATATCTATAAAAACTAACAGAATATTAACTAGAAAGTATTTTTAAACTCCTGAGATCATTCAATTTCTCACATTACTTTGATATGTAGCATAGTTATACTCTTGTTAGCAAAAATAACATATTCAAAATAAGCTATATTACTTTGTTCATCCCAACCTTACATATGCCAAGTTTTTAGGAAATGCATACACAATCGCCCTGTTCTCCCTGTCAGAAGGCAGATCAGGGAAAAGGGATTCAGTCCACACCTGAAGACACAGCTCTACAGTTTGGGGGTCCTCCTTCACTCAGTGTTGAACCTGGAGGACCAGGTATCTGCAGTGGCCAGGAGGGCCTTTACACAATTCAATCTTGTGCGCCAACTGCGCCTGTTCCTTTAGAGGCTGGATCTGACCACCGTGGTACATGCCTTAGTTACATTTCATCTAACATGCTCTATGTGGGGCTGCCTTTGAAGAGTGCTTGAAAACTTCAACTGATCCAAAGAGCTGCAGCCAGTTTTCACACTGGGGCTGGCTAAAGGGAGTGGACAACACCCCGTTGCAGTAGCTCCACTGGCTGCCAATTTGCTTCTGGGCACAATTCAAAGTGCTGGTTATGCCCTTTAAAATCCTAGATGGTTCAGGTCCAGGCTATTTGGCTGACCGCACCTCCTTGTACGAACCTGCCCAGGCCCTGAGATCTTCAGAAGATGTCCTTTTGTTGGTCCCACCTCTGTCTCAAGGACATTTGGTGGGAACAAGAGAGCAGGCCTTCTCAGTGGCTACTCCTTGACTCTGAAACTCCCTTCTCAGGGAAGCCAAAATGGACTCCTGCTTTCTGTCCTTTTGTCAGCAAGCTAAAACTTTTTTATTCAGGCAGGCTTTTAAAGAAGGGTTTAAGTCAAGGGTTTAAGAAAGGGTTTAAGAAAAGGATGAAGTCAGAGGTGCTGTGGCTTTAGCTTTAAATAGGGAGCCCCCAGTGGTGCGGTAGGTTAAACCCTTGTGCCGGCAGGACTGATGACCAACAAGTTGGAGATTCGAATCCAGGGAGAGCACAGATTAGCTCCCTCTGTCAGCTCCAGCTCCCCATGCAGGGACAGGGGAGAAGCCTCCCACAAGGATGATAAAACATTTAAAAAAATCCAGGAAATAATGGATCTGATAAAGGATTTTTATTTACAGTACAATTTTATAAAAATAATTTCAATAATGTTAGTACATGATAAATTTACAATATAATACAGCTTTATCCCTTTCAAACAAGAAAACTGTACTTAAATGAATGCTAGATGGACTTCCAGTATAAATAATATCTTGGACAAGACACTAGCTCTATTAAGGTGTGTTTACCAGTAAACAGAGAGAAAAAACAGCAAGTATTATGACACTTAGGTGGTTCCTTTGCAAAATTCACATTAATGATATAAAATCTACAAACAAGGGGTATGAAGAGGACAACACAGTTTGAGCTCTGCAAAGATCCAGCCAGTTGATGGCATGCATAAATGACACCCATCTGTTCTGAATCTCATAATATTAAATGTAGAATAAGAGCAGCCTCTGCATTAACGAGAACTCCAATATACATTTTTGGCTTTTTTGCTAAGACAATGTTGAATCTATACCTCCCTTAAGAACTACATGTTTACAGTATTAACCTTTAATGAGATATATTTAAGAACACATTTTATATAGTTGCCACATGGAAGCCATTTTAAATCACTTCCTGTGTCTCCAGCTCAGAAGTTCCTTGTTCTACAAGAGGCTTTAGCTAGTTGTGGAGAGCTACCTTTTTTTCTAACCCTGTCATAATTCTGTTCATTCATTTGTCCAGCCTTTGGCAGCACCATTCTTCTTTATGGACTCGGATGTCCATGAAATCTGGAGTGAGGTGGCCAAAGATGTTGCAGACACCCAAGGGTTTCCTGCCATGTGGCGCCCCATTCACAGATTCCTGTATGAACCAAGGCTAAGTCACAGATCAAGAATGGGGGAAATTTGCTTCATACTATTCTGTGGGACTGGCCTTAGAATAAATCAGGCACCTGAAGTGAATTAATTCAGGGTCCAAAAACATATTGAGCACCTCCATGAGGCAGAACCTCTGTAACCCCCCACCCAACTATGTTGCCTCGGCTGTTACACGACTCTTCTCTAGTTTGCCTTGTTATGTCTTTGTCATTGAGGACTTTGTTCCAAATATTAAAGCCAGTTATTTTTCCAGAAAAAGCTAAAGATTCATTAAAACCACCTCCAACACAGCAGCCATTCTTTTCTTGGCCAATCTGCAAAATCCCACCATCTGGAATGATGTAATCCTCAGCTATTTCTGAGGAGGTTGCCGCAATCTTTCCATTTATCCACAGTGATGTACTTCCATTAACTGTGTTCCAAGAGCCACAAAGGTGAGTCCACCTTTCAGAAGAGATGACATTTGGGGCAATTATCTTCTTGTGATCACTACTTATGGCAAGAACAACAGAACCGTAGCTCAGGTAAAGTTGGATTTCATAAGGGTTCCTCTTTGTTCCATACGAGAATACAATTGTTTTGTCCAGCATTTCAGTCACTTTCACCCACGTGCAAACAGTAAAAGAATGGAGCATCAATTCAGCAGTTGGGTGAACACTCACAAAGATCTTCTTGGAGCGCATTGGGAATAAAAGAGCTGTCTCACAACCTTCAAAAACAAGAAAATAAAATTGTTAGCAACAAGTCATATTATAAATGGGGATTATGTGCATCATTACATAATATACTAATATAATAATAATTTGTTTAGATTGGATTATATATCCAATTAGATTCTGTGAAATAGTCCAGAATTGTCTTACTTCAATGGACAGGATGCCTGGCAGAGAAACTTCTTACTGTTATGTGTTGTTTGGTTTTAAAAAACTAAATAATACTGGAGATCTTTACTTCAAAGCTCTCTGCTCACCAACCTAGGAGATAACTGTTTATGTTCAGCAAAATTTCTGTGTTCAAAAGTGCTGCCCTGAAGTATAGTAAATCGAGGGTAAATAATGCATTTTGTTTGCACAGATTCGTTATTGTGTGTTGGTGAAGGATTCAAATAATGAGAAGTCTACATCATTTATTCTTAGGTTGAAATTCTCGAAGAGCTGGTGGCAAATAATTTTATTAGAAGACTCTGATTATTCCTATGGTTCCCCTTCCCACTCTTGACTCTGCAATGCTTCACTCAATATTATGGTGCAGTGGTTTGAATGTGGGATTAGGTCATCAGTAGACCAGGATTTGAATCTTGGTCCAGCTATGAAAATTCACTGGGATATCACACCATCTCAACCTTAAAGAAAGGCAGTGGTATGATGACTGGATTGTGACTCTGAACGTCAAGATTCAGATCCACACTTAATCATGGAAACCCAGTGGTTGGTTTTGGGCAGGTCACACAATCTCAGCTTCAGAGGATGGCAGTGGGAACTAGGCTTATGCAGTTCAGCTGGAGGGTGATCTGTTTTTGGTGTCTGAATTTCATTGGGTACCCAAATCTGTTTTTGGGAGCCTCCTGAATATCGGCTAATGGAAAAAGCTGTTTTCGGCTATGCAGCCAAAAGATCGGGGAAGATCCAGTCCATTGGGGGCAGTGGAGAATTTACAGTCTCCTCTTTCCATTCCTGGGATATTTTCCTTTCAAGGGAGCCCAGGTTTGATGAATAGGGTTAAGAAAGCATTATTCTGTCTCTAGAGCCAGGATGCAACTGAGAGCAGTGGAGGTGCTCACCCCATTAAATAGACACATCACAGCATTCTTCTATTCTGATTGGCCCAACAGGCAGGGCTCACAGGTAAATCCCATGTGAGCATGAGACAGCATCTTCACATGTCATGTGATGCCAAACAGGAGAAGAGAGGCCATGACTGGCTGACGCATGGCCCGTTTTGGCCGGAAAAAAAATATGGCGGCTGAGCCCTTGCCATTATGATCAGCCAAACAAGCCAGATTGGCTGAAGGGAACCAACCAAACCGAATCCATGCACAAGTTTAGTGGGAAACCTCCTCTCAGCAAATCTTGCCAAGAAATCTTGGCATGATAGATTGCCTTAGACAACCACTAAAAATAAACAAAAGCAAAACCATCATCCTTTTCAGAATGATGGTACAAAAAAGAGACTAGGGATGAATATATTGTTTGAATGTGTGTGAGTGTGTATTCTCCAGAAACCACAGCTTATTCAGAGCAGGAGATGTTGACTTATGAACTACTTACCTCTGAATATTGGGTCTGTTACTATTTCTAATGTGGAAGTGAAACTACAAGAATCTTGGTAAAGCTGCATTTTTGTGGTCTGAAAAATGTTTATTTTTACTCTAGTGTAAGTTATAATTTTATTCAGAATGTCTTACTGCAAAAAAAAAATCAAAGATATTCCTGCGTGGGGCAGCCCTGTCTCCAGTTATTACTGGATTGGTAATAGATAAGCATGGAATACATGGGGAAATGATCACAGGAATTTGGAATATACTGTCTAACTACCATGTATAATCAATGAACTCCAGTATTTCCATTTCTAAGATGTAAAGAATACTAATGAAATTTGAAAATGCAAGTATAATAATTAAAATACACGTTCTGTCTTTTTTTATTGGTCCAGTCATATCATTTGAGTCCTGAATATGTTTTAACAGTTATGACCCCTGAGAAATGGGGCATTGGGTCATGCTTTTGCAGGAGTACTTCTTCAAAAAGCAAAAAACTCTGTGTAGAGACATGACTTTTTAATTAGCAGGATTTCTAACTTTATTATCAAGGGCTAAGCAAAATTAAAACCAGCTTCACAAAACACCACCAACGGTGTGATCAGAAAAGCCCTTAAGAGTCAACCTGGCAGGAATCCAGGATATGTGAGAAATCAAAACCAGTTGCCGAAAACTCTTTGGGAAAAGATTTCCAGAGGGATCTGAAGGGTATTTCAAAAATTTACTCTTCTTGTTCTTAATCAAATTATGACTTTCCTTCCCCCCATCAAAACATATGGAACTGAACTCTTGCCTTTACTTAGTCTGTTGTGAATTAAGAACTAGTCCAGTGAATTCAGTGGAGTCATTGTGGATTTAACGCTGACTTCATAGGTTGAGCAACAATGATGAGAGTAATCCAGCTTCAGTCAAGGATTTTACTATCCCATTAATTTTACTGGGTTTGATTGAAGGGCCAAACTGTCAACTACACCGCTGATGTGTACATCACACAGCTTCCAGGCACCACTTTCCTGTATCACCTCCCTTTCTCTCATCTACTATTGATAATAATGTGAAGCATGTGTGACCACGATATTGGGAGTTTCCCCACCTCTCAAGCAGCAGCCAATCAAGTGAAGTTGGAATTGGGAAACATGTAATAATGCAAGTTTCATGCCAAGTATTGTGTACTAGTAAATGTTATAAGAAAGGGAGGTGGGATAATACACATGTACTGAAATCAAGAAGATGTAAAAATGCTTGTTGTTTGTCAAAATCATGCAAAAATTAGCTGTGGAATTTTGCACAAATCTGTTAGATAACACCAATTAGCTCTTTTGGAAGTAAGATAATTGAGGAAGTGGGTGCCACTTAGCCTGCTTATATAAGTGTGTGCCTGTGTATGTATAGGCCTTTGGATTGCCTGGTGATTTATGGTGACCCCACTGACTTCATAGGTTTTTTAGAGGCAGGGAATATTTGCCACTATTTTCCTCTGAAATATAGCTTATAGTCCATGGTGGTTTCCTATCCAGAGCAGACCCTGACTAGTTTTCAAGTTCAGACAAAATCTGCTGCCTTCAGGATGTGACCCTCTTATTCAATTTGTTATATACTATGTTTTTATTGTTTGATCAAGGTGTTTCAGAGTCATGGCTATATAGGTCTTCTTGGCAAAATTTGTTCAACAAGGTTTGCCACTGCCTTCCTCTGAGAGATTGTTATATGCCCAAGGTGGGTTTCCATGACCAAGCAGGAATTCAGACCCTGGTCTCTCAAAGTCCTAGTCTTCAACTGAAACTATTACATAATGCTGGCCCGCTTAGTTGTGCTAGTTCCAATAAAAATCTGTCATAAATGGAACCCAAATTATTGTCCCACCATTATTTTATGAGTATTATGATGCTGTTGTTGTATGCCTCCAAGTTGTTTCTGACTTATGACAACCCTAAGGTAACCCTATCACAGGGGTTTTCTTGGCAAGACTTGTTTGGAGTGGGTGGGTGTTGACTTCGCCTTTTTCTGAGGTTGAAACAGTGTCAGTGGCCCAAGGTCACCCACAAGATTACTGTGGTTAATTAGGATTTCAAATCCTGGTCTACAGAGTTATAATCCACTGGTTGAACCATTATACCACACAGGCTTTTCATAAGTATATATTACGTTAATGCCAAAAAATATTAACTCAAAAAAGCCATCTAGTAACATAAAATGTTAATTAAAAGTGAGGTATTGACAATTGTTAGTTATCGATCCCATCTGTTAAAATAATTTTTTAAATCATCAATAATTTATTATAAGTTCATAGGGATTACTGTAGGGGTTTTGAGGGCAGAATGAGTTGCATCTTCAGAAATGAATATTTACAGAATGAATATGCACTATTAGCATCATCTCTATCTATATAAAGCCCAACTGCTCATTGGAGGGAAGGGTATTAGAGGCAAAGATGAAGTATTTTGGGCACATAATGAGAAGACAGAAAAGCTTAGAGAAGACAATTATGCTGAGGAAAATGGAAGGAAAAAGGAAGAGGAGCTGACCAAGGGCAAGATGGATGGATGGTATCCTTGAAGTGACTGACTTGACCTTGAAGGAGCTGGGGGTGGTGATGGCCAACAGGAAGCTCTGGCGTCAGCTGGTCCATGAGGTCACAAAGAGTTGGAAGCGGCTGAACGAATGAATAACAACATATCAGTGATTCCCAACCTTTTTTTGGACCAGGGACCATTTTGACCAGGGACCACTTGACCAAGGACCACTTGACCAGGGTCCACTCTCCAACATTAGAACCAAAAGATTTACAAATCAGTTTTTGGTCAACTTTAAATTTGATTTGGTTATTTGTGGGAGCTGATTCAGAAAATTGCATTGGTTAGAGCACATCAGCTCTTGTTTCTGATACAGAACATATGCCATCTAGTAGTTGCCATGTGCTCGCCCACAGAAAACCATCTTTAATCATCTAGAGCCGAGGTCCTTATTTTAGGTTTTGCGGCCCACAGGTTGGGAAAGACTGATCTATACTTTAGGGTGACCCCTCTCACTCCATTTGCTCATCCAGTTATAGTATCCATGAGATTCACTTCCTATCCTGATTAAGATAACATTTGGTTTAAATTAACTATATTTGAAAAGTCAACAGAAAGGTAAAGTTTCAAATGTTCAATGAGAATGGACTTTTTTCATTTTAAAATCATGTGATCCTGGTTCTGAATGTTGTCTCTAGTACTCTTTGGCCCAGGTTCTTTTACCATATGCATACATCTTAGCATCATTATATTTAAATAAAAAGAGCAGCTTTTAATGTTTTAGTTTCACAGTCAGTGGTTCCTTTGGAGATAAGCAATTGGTAAGGCCAAACATAATCTCTATGAATTTTCCCCTTCAAATGTGGCTATATATATTTGTGTAGTTAGTTCTAAAATGTCTGGCCACTCTTTTTTACATTATCCTAACATTTCTGCTAACTTGTGATCTTTCTTTTTCAAATGGAATATATACTGATTTACTCCAGGTAGGTATCGGATAAAGCTACCTTAAATTATTCTAGTTGGGTTGTAAGTTAAGGAGAGGAAATACACTGTTATTTTATGTTTGTTTATTCATATTAACCTGAATCATGACCTACATATGGTTGACTGCTAGTGACTGGATACCAAAGTTCTTGAATGGTCTGGTATTTCAAAGGGAAGGGGGGGGGGTCTTGATGATGTATCACTAAACTTTCCTGCCACATGGAGTGAAAGCTGTTCCACTGCTTTGGGCCCCTATGGAGAATCTGTTCATGCCCTGAAGCATGAGACTTGATGAATAGCCTGTTGACATAATCAGTGAGCTCACAGGGTCAAGTTTTGTTCAGATGTCGCCTCTGAGGAATGCTACAAAAGAGGTGGCTATTACCTTACTTGGGAGAAGAAAAGATAGGAATGGGTGAAAATACAACAGGACAAATCCTTGTTATTTTTATAAAGAAAAATTAAGAGTAGAAGTCCATAAGTGTGAACTGGCATAACCACAAGACCTTGTGAGAATGTGTTCCCTGCACACACACACGCACGCACAAGCTTCAAGGGGGGGTGTCTTTCTGTTCAACACAGGTATGGATGTTTCCTTTGGCTAGGAATCTTATAGATTCCTCACTGAAACATCCCTCTTGAACTTCTAAATATTGTATATGGGTTTTATGCTGTGTGTCCTTTGCCTGGAAGCCTAAACAAAGTAAGTCTTTATTAAAGGAGGTCTAAGTTCATGCAACTAAAATTCTTCCAGTACACAGAAGTGTCAATACTTCTGGAGTATTAGCTATCCCTCCCAATTTGGTGTCATCATCAAGTTTGCAGACGACGCCAAATTGGGAGAGATAGCCAATACTCCAGAAGACAGGAGCAGAATTCAAAACAATCTTAACAGATTAGAGAAATGGGCCCAAACTAAATGCAAGATACTCCACTTAGGCAGAAAAAATGAAATGCAGAATGGGGGACTCCTGGCTCAACAGCAATGCATGTGAAAAAGTTCTTGGAGTCCTTGTGGACAAGTTAAACATGAGCCAACAATGTAATGCTGCATAAATAGGAGTATAGTATCTAGATCCAGGGAAATCATGCTGCCCCTCTATTCTGCCTTGGTTAGACCACACCTGGAATACTGTGTCCAATTCTGGGCACCACAATTGAAGGGAGATGTTGACAAGCTGGAATGTGTCCAGGGGAGGGGCGTCTAAAATGATCAAGGGTCTGGAGAATAAGCCCTGTGAGGAGCAGCTTAAAGAGCTGGGGTTGTTTAGCCTACAGAAGAAAAGACTGAGAGGAGACATGATGGCCATGTATAAATATGTGAGGGGAAGTCATAGGGAGGGAGCAAGCTCGTTTTCTGCTGCCCTGGAGACTAGGACACGGAGCAATGGCTTCAAACTACAGGAAAGGAGATTCCACCGGAATATTAGGAAATACTTTCTGACTGCGAGAGCTGTTCAGCAGTGGAACTCTCTACCCCGAAGTGTGGTGGAGGCTCCTATGGAGGCTTTTAAACAGAGGCTGGATGGCCATCTGTGGGGGGTGCTTTGAACACAATTTTTCTGCTTCTTGGCAGGAGGTTGGACTGGATGGCTCACAAGGTCTCTTCCAACGCTATGATTCCATGATTCTAATGCTTCCCTTTATATCATCCAGGCATCCATTGAGATGATTTAGCAGAGTTATTTGACATATTTTGTGAACTGCATTGGCATCATTATCAATAGAGTTTAACTTACCAATTGGTAATAAGTGCTGCATGGTCCATTTTTGGGATTCTTTCAGTTCAGCTTTTGTTTCCTGAAGTTCTTGCCACAGCGACTTCACAATGAAATCGTCCCCACTTGCGATGTGGCTGACTCTGACTTTCTCTGACAAACTCCTCTGCTGAGCAACCACCTCTTCTTTCTTCTGCCAAGCATGTTCCAGACGGCTCAGTCTGTTGGACACATTTTGGCTCAGCTGCAGCATCTCTTGGAGGATCTTTCCCAGCTTAGATTCAGGAAGCATCGCAAAAAGGTCCTGGGATTCTCCTCTGTTCTTTGCCAGCATCTGGTCCATTTGGCTCACAAAGTGGGAGGCAGCTTTTTCAATGGATGTTGTGCATGAGCCAGCAATGTTTTCTACGAATTGGAACAGTTCCCCTCTCAGAGTCTGCAATTCCACCTTAAGGATTTCATCCAGAGACTGAAGCAGCATGTTTTCTTTCATCTGGGAATTCTCAAGCATAATGAAGAGTTTGTCCCACTCTGTATGTTCCCGCTGACAATCGCATGAAATAGCTAGAAACAGCAGAATACACGGCAGCTATTACAATAGATTTCTGGCCCTGGTGATTTTTCCCTAAATAAAAGTGCTACATAATAAAACACACATTCCTGAATTCTCCGTATACTCCAAAACTATCTCTACTTCATTTTCTGAGAAGACAAGTCAAAGCTACAATTTACTGAAATATTGATGGGATTATATGTCCTTAAGAGGAATCTATAGAAAAGAGCTGAGAGACTGCTTGTTCTTTTACTTAGGTTAAATGCAAGTTTTGCAAATCTAGTGCTTCTTTTATCAGCTGGCAAGAGTTTTTACAACACCAGCAGCACATGAAACATGAATTCTGAGTGTTCTTTCTTTTCATGGTATAGAAGCATCTAGCCTGCAGCTACAGACCGGAAGAAATAGGGAAAAACATATTACTTACTTTCCTCTGTAGCAGGAATGGCACTTTCTATTTCATTGTCAAAATTCAGGAAGAAGAGATCTTCATACTCATCATGTTCCTGAGTAAATGCAAAAGTCCAGAGAGCCAAAAACAGGATTGCAGAGGAATACATCTTTGCTTGTTTTTTTAAAAAAAGAAAACAGGATTCTCCAGCTGCTTCTTAAAAGTCTCAGCGTCTCCCTGAATGAAGGTCTCTCCCTTTAAGAGAGTCTCGTAAGACCCAAGCAGAGACGATTCTGAGAGGGAGTCGCTGAAAGCCCTTAAATAATGCTGAGAGAGAGTGGCTGGATGTGAATGAATGAGTAATGCTGGTGCTGTAATAGGAGTGCTTCTGGTTATTATTAATTTTTTTGGAAGGGAGTTCTGAGGAGGGGGAGTCATGGAAGTTGCACAATCCTGAACCTTAAATATTTGAAATGTGTTTGGATTAGCAAGCTGTGTAAGAGGAGAAATGATGGGAAAGCCCTTCTTGCAAACTGCAAAGCCCCTTGGAGACTTGATTTTATAAAAACGTATGTGTTGTTCTGGAGGAAGAAAAGCAGGGGCAGTAAATAATTTGTGGATTTGCTGAATGTAGAAAGCCAGGGATTTTAAGAGCTGGTTTGGAAACATTTTAGAGTACATTCCAAACTCCAGGAATTTTTTGTATGACTATGCAGTTTCACAAACTGAATGTTCTTGATCATTAAAGAGCAGTAACACTTGCAAATCCACATTTTAATGTCCTTTTTATCATTAAAAAGGGACCAATATGTTGCAGTACATTCCTGAAACCCCTTTTAACACTAAATAGCAGCTTTTTGCTTGTATAGGAGAAAACATACAAATATTACATGTTGGCACGTTCTCTCTCCCACGAGGTTGGTGATCCACAGACCAAGATTTAATGAGATGTATGTATAGATGAAAATTAGGGAGGATTTTGCTCATACAATGTAAGATTATTTTTTTCTTCCCATTTAACATTTCCCCCCATATGCTATCTATGCTGGTCTGGAGATCTGATCCAGAAAACTTGCATCCACACAGTGAGATGTCTGTTGTTCGGAACAGTTGTCTTTAATGGACCTTACAACCTATTAATCTTGTCTACACCCTACCAGATAGATCCTTATATTTCCTCTTACTGATGGGAGGCTGAGGCTTTGGTAATCTGTTTTGCTCAAGAACACTGTTTTCTTGTCTGGTCAGAAGAGGAGTTTGTTGAAGATAGATCATGTAACACTTGATTGGGTAGAGCCTATCAAGAGCTAGAATTATTACTTTTCTAGAGAATGAGGGTTGCTTTGGATAGTTAGTAGTAATCTGTACATGATCCCCACATATAATTCTGCAGTGTACCTTAAAATAATGTCATGCATAGTGTGCATTATGAGAGATTCCAGATATCCTAGAGATCTGAGCAGATAATATTGTGAACTGTTAGGACTGTTAGCAAAAAGATGCAAAGAGGAATTAATTACTACCTGGTACCCAGAGTAAGTTGCTTAAATAACCTAAAGGCACCATATCCTGTTTTATTTTGAAAGCTAAGCAGGATCAATTCTGCTTACTACTTGGATGGGAGATTGCCAATGAGTGAATGAATGAATGAATTAGATGGTGTATGCTATATTTCAGTAGATGGAACTGGCAGAACCCTATTCTTTTACACAGTAGTACCAAAGCTGAAGCTAGTTGTGAGAGGAGCTATGCATCTGATCCAAGTCCTCTCCTCTCTCCAAATGAACTCTAATAAAACAACATACACCAATGTGCTGCAAAGCCTGCCCTCAGAGATAGTAGCCAATAAAACAGAGGGGAATCTTGCAGCTTAGCTATGTGTTTGCTAAACATGAGTCAGGAAAAGCGAAAAGAAGATAATGTGGAACAGCTGTTTTTCTGTAGCAGTTACACAAGTAACTTGTCTCGTACCAGTCCAGCCTGATTGCTCATACTAAAGCTGGGGCATAAACGTTTTCCTTTTGTGGAATTAAATGGTTTTTTTGTGAAAAATGAGGCTTTCAGAGACATATGTGGTGATTAAAGGGGGCTTTAATGGCACAGTTGCTTATATGAGTCAAAACGACAGAAGGTTTCATAAACTTTCTTTTATATAAAAAGAGCATCGTTGGCACTTTAATTAGGTGTTGTGGTTACAGGGTGGGCTGGTTAGAACAATGCAGACCACCATTGTCCTCCATAAATATTCCTGAAATCAACATGTTTACATTGAATCATTTCTAGAAGACTTTTTCTGCATCCATGGCCTGGTCACCTGTTAAGTTTTCAAAATCAAATGGTAGGCAGAATATCAACATTCTCCTTACATACCTTTAACCATTTGAATTTTGTAACAGTTAATGTGGCACAATAAAGATTGAGATTTGTAAGCTTTTAGGATATTCATTAAATATTTTCACTCCTCCTTGGGGAGGAATATAGACATCTCAGTCTAGGAATGGAATTTATGCAGACAATTTAGTTTAGCTTTGATTCCTTTCTCATTCACAGTATAACTTGGGCAACTACCCAACTACTGAATGCAACCTCACCAGTTGAGGAACTATACAGCATAGAAATCTGTGGAAGAAACCACACTTTCCAGAGGCATTATTATTCTTATAATTTTGTTTATTGATAATGTGTCTTTATTTAAGTACTGAGATCCACGTTGGTTACAAACCTACTTAAACAATACAGATTAAAAACTATACTGCTTTTGAAGTTTTTTGTATAAATAAAAGTTATCTAAACAAATAATTTTGAAGTTTAAACATCGCAATCATTTAAAAGACTATATACTAGTCATTCTACAGTCTTGGGGCAGCCTATACATTCTATAAGGAACAGCATTGCATAGCATTAAATAATTGCATAGCATTAAAAAGTCAATGTTTAAGTGTCTTAAAATGTATCTCCGTACTTTCATCTGTATATCAAAAGTAGAGGCATCTGTTATATCTCTTTCAAAACAAGCATTGCATTACGGTGAACTATCTAATATAGCCTAACTATTTCTGATATCAGGAATTGTACTAATCATAGTAATAGCATAGCAGGGGGAGCCCCCGGTGGCACAGTGGGTTAAACCCCTGTGCCGGCAGGACTGAAGACCGACAGGTCGCAGGTTCGAATCTGGGGAGAGGCAGATGAGTTCCCTCTATCAGCTCCAGCTCCTCATGCGGGGACAGGAGAGAAGCCTCCCACAAGGATGATAAAACATCAAAAAAATCATCTGGGCGTCCCCTGGGCAACGTCCGGCCAATTCTCTCACAACAGGACACTCCTGACATGACCAAAAAAAAAAAAAAAAAAAGCATAGCAGGGAACTGTTACATGTATCTCTGTAGAAACTGTTACAAACTATTTCACTTCTCTCTTTCTTTTGGATTGTCTCTTATGCTATCTCAAGTTTTTCCTATCTGTTCATCTCTACCTGTAAGGAATAACTTTCATCATCATTGTCAACCAAAGAGAGACAGGTTTTACTTGTCTTTTGTACAAGGCCACTACTCATCCAATAATGCCAGAAGGCCACCAACTGAAGAAAAACTTCATCACATTAGCCAGGTCAAGCATTCCGCTTTGCCAGTGAACTGAGGGGCTGTGGAGTGAATCTGTCACCCCATATGCCACTCCCTCATGGTGACGCTTTCCCCATTACATGGGGGAGGTGTTGCCAATGCGGTGTGGATCCATTCTGACTTCATTGGAGCCAGCACAGCATGGAAAGCCTCCTGTGTTGAGAGGGAAGTTTCATACAATGCTCCCAATCTGGTTGTGTGCAGAAGTCCACCAACATTGTGTGATGGGCAGTATGCCCATATGTTGCTGGACTGGCGGGGAAGCATGCTAGGAAACTAAAAAAAGCCACGTTTGATGAGGTCAGAAAACTTCAACTAGTCTTCCTGGATTGAATACTTGCTATCAAGCATAACTCAGCATCATTAACCTCTCTTTTGCTAATCTCCTCCATCTGGTCAGTTTTCCATTTCTCTATCTCCAGTCTTAGATAGACTTTCACACATTTGTCCTATTTTATCTTATGTTTATACTTAGGTGACTGAATGCCAAGAACTGGTTTCATTATATGCTAATTTGTTTTAGGAAGGCACCAATCAAGAGTACACATGAATGTTCTATTTATTGTTTAATAGTTAATATATTGCTTTGTTATATGTAGTGGCATCAAATTGCTGCCAAATATAAGCTGACCTGAGTCTCCCTTCGGGGGTTGAGAAGGAACGGGTAGAAATACCAGAAATAAACATATTTCATTTTTCTTCTTGTATACAGGCCTTACATTTTGCATTAGATATACACAATATAGTGTTGACACTGTAACTTCCCCTCCAAAATGAATATTGATGATTTTTCTTATTCTGACCTGAACCTTTACCCCACAATTTAAAAATTACTTCCCTCCTTTCCATCTTACACATCTCATACACTCTGCCATGATATTGCCAAATGTTCCACTTTGGAGACATTTAGATCAAGCCTGGGCCAACCTAGTATTCACAGGCAAAACTTCATCTGAAATGCAAATAGCAGCTTTAGAATGCATTTTTTAATCAAGGTCGTAACAAAGAGACAAACTGCTCCTCCACACCTTTATGATTCCAAGACTATTGTAGTATCCCGTGGTGGATCTTTCTAGATGGAAAAAAATGCTTTAATTGTATTTACATTTATGGAATCAATACCACATCTGCGGTGCTGCTGGTTCATCATGGCAGTTGGCCTTCATACCCCATGTTGCAGTCCCAAACCTAATATTCTAGCAATAAGTTATTATGTATGCTTGGTAGTTAGGAATGCTCACTCTAAGTTGTGCCTGCTTAGTATAGGTTTGTTTAGAAGGGTTTTACCTTTTGTTTCTTCTTAGGCTAAGAGAATGTGACTTGTCCAAGGTCACCCACTGGGCATCAATGGTCATGTAGGAATTAGAACCTTTGTTTCCATAGTCATAATCCAAGGTTCAAATTCCTATGCCATGCTAACTAACTGTAACGGAGTATCATCTAATTATCATCTTATGCGCGACCTGTTTGGCATAAGTCTGGCCATGCAAAGCAGGTGAACAAAGCATTGAATGAAACATGCAGAATAATCACAGGATGTCTTAAACCTACACCTGTTGATAAACTCTACAAGCTAGCTGGCATTCCCCCCCCCCCCCGATGTGTGATGGGAAGTTGCTGCTAAATGTGAGAGAAATAAGGTTGAACACTGTGAAAGCCATCCACTACATGGCTACCAGCCTCCTCCCAGTAGACTCAAATCAAGGAAAAGCTTTATGAGAACTACAACTCCTCTTGGCATCCCCCCAGCAACAGCAAAGGTATCTCTCTGGACAGCTACAGGATGGCCCCCTGCGAGGGTCTTCTTCCAGGGGCAAACAAGAATGGGCAACTTGGAAGTCCCTGAACAGACTCAGAAGTGGAGTGGGCAGATCAAAAGACAACCTGGCAAAATGGCACTACCTAAAAGAATCCCACACCTTGTGTGACTGTGGAGCAGAACAGACAACTCCACATCTGTATGCTTGTCTACTATGCCCTGCCTCATGTACAGAGGAAGAATTG